CGTTGCCTCGATTCTCAGAGGAGGAAACTGAGGCTCGTCGAGGGGAAGGGGCTCCAGCAAAGATCACTGCATGTCCGTCTGGGATTGGACCCCAGGTCAAGTAATCAGCATGGTCCATGTTCTCATCTGCCGAGAGGTGCTGCCTCGTTTTTCAAGTTGAGGCTCAGGAAGGGCACCTGACCTTGCTTCAGAGAAAAGGTGTATTCACTCTGTTGATTGGCAGGTGGGGTAAGAACTCCACCCTGTATTTGGCACCTGGTGCAGCTCATGGTCCAAGGGGAGTGTGAGAAGGGGCGCCCATCTGAGTGGGCCAGGTCGAGATGCACAGCATATTCAGAATAGTTATTTGTAGCCTTGCTGTGTGTGGGGGGCACCCGTTCATGCCTGAGGCTGGTAGAGGTTGAAAGCAGGGACAGTCGTGGGAATGCCTTTGGCTCCAAGCAGCAAGTCCCAGCTCAATTGGAGGAAGTCTGTTACCTCTGAGAACATGAAGTCCCACACTAGGGAGGGCCGCACAAATGGGGAATTTACTGACTCAAGGACTCAGGTTCTTTCCCTTTCTTTGTTCTGTCTCCATCGGCCTGCAGACTGGCTCCCCTCACAGTCTCAGAGTGACTGTTGAGATAGTCACCGTGTCAAATGGAAGAACAGGTGACATTTACTACAAGTGGTCTTTGTTTATTAGTTTTCTAGTAAAGAAACCTTCCTCAGAAGTCACCTAGCAGACAGTCCACACAAGCACCTGATGCTTCACTGTCCACAAGTAGATCACAGACCTACCGCTGACCCATCCCAGACAGGTGGCATCCACCATTCAGGATTGTGCCCTGGGCTGGGTGCCGGGTCACCTTCCTTGAGGATGAGTAGAACCAGCCTTCATTTACAAGGTGACGGGGAGTAGGATGACACCCAGTGCCTGCCACAGGCTGAGGGAGCAAACCCATCCCAAATGGGGCAATGGATGGAGCCAGCTGGCAGACACAGAGAAAGGGGTGGTGGTCTTTTTCTCTTCGTCTTATTATTTATTTTGGCCATGCAGGGTCTTTGTTGCAGCACACAGGCTTTCTCTAGTTGTGGCATGGGGCAGGGGCTCTCGTTGCAGTGTGTGGGCTTCTCGCAGAGCATGGGCTTAGTTGCCCTGTCGCATGTGAGATCTTAGCTCCCCAACTGGGGATTGAACCTGCATCCCCTGCACTGGGGGGCAGATTCTTAACCACTGGACCCACTCTTCCTTTTTTTTTCTTTATCATCTCTTGTTTGTTTGTTTTTGTTTTCTTTTTTTTCCAGCTCATAAAAGCTGAACATGCCTGATGACAGGGTAGAGAAATATGTGCTGTAGAAATATAAAAGTTAGGGTTAAAACCAGTTAGGATATATTCATAGAGTGGGCCACCTGCAGCCATTGAAGGGAGAGGGTTTTGTGTGGACTGACACGGAGAGAGCTCCAGGGCATCGTGTTAAGGTCAAAGCCAGGTGCAGAGCAAACTCATGATAGGCTGCCATTTATGTTAAAAAGGAAAATTGGGAAGCTACACACACACTGGGCTCTCTGTTGAAGAAGAAAATAGGGGAAAAGCCAAGGTTGCCTCAAAGAAGGATACTGAGCTGTCAGATGGCACTTTCATTTCTACCCTGTGCTGTGTATGTGGTTTCATCTCCCCCATCATTACTGCTTCCAGAGATAAACAGTTAGTGTGCACTCTTCTGAAGATTTCTCTCCAAATCTGTACCAGCCCAGGTCTATCAAACGTATTTTGACAGTTACCCAAAACAGGAAAAGCATTTTACATTACAGCCCAGTGTGGACATCCTCAGTGAAGTTTCACAAAACCACTTACACTTACCTCACATGAGGTACGCTGAGGTTTTTTATTCTAGTCTGTTTCTCCCCACCTCCTACCCCAAATAACAGTCAAGATCTAGTAAATTGATTTCATGGCCCACAGTTGGGAAAAAACTATACATTTCCTTTTCATAAAAAAAAAAAGACCCCCCCCCCGCAAAAAAAAGCCCAATAAACATTCAACAACATATGTACATTTAAAAAAAGAAAAAGCATGCTTTGCATGATGCCTCATTTCCACTTCCTGTAGCTCAGGCATCTGTCTTTATCCATAAACAGAAGTTGACCTCATTCTTCACACTAGCTGCATAGTTCTTGATCATATGGATATGCTTGGACTGATCTAAGAATTCAGGCCATGTCCAGCTTTTTGTTGTTTACACACAGCATTGCAATGACCATCCTTGTATATGCTGGCATGTCCTTGTGCAGGCTTTTCTGTGGCGTGGATTTCTGGGAGGTCAGATGCTAGACTGACACTACTCACATCTTTCAGTTCCGCTCAGACACTGTCTCCTCCTTGGGGAAGCCCTTGTGGCCTCCCCGGATAAAGTCCGATCCTGGTGTTACGTGCCCCATGACTCCCTGGACAACGCCTCCCCAGTGCGCAGCCTTGGACCTGTTGACAGATGTTGCTAGATTATAGAAAGTCTATGTAAGCCAGTCAGAGCTTGCATTTTAAAATCCATTCTGACAGTCTGCTTTAGGATTGGGATGTTTCAGTATTCACATTTAACGAAGTTACTGATGATAATTAGATTTGCATTTGCCATTTTGTGCTTTGTTTTCTATGTTTACTATCTTTCTCCTTTGTCCTTCCTTTACTTTTGCCTTTTGTGTTAAATTAGTTTTAATACACCATTTGGATTCCTCTTAACTTTAATTATAGTATGCATCTTATCAATGTATTTCATATTAGTGCTAACTGAATACCAACAAAATATAGAAACTTTTCTCCAACAAAGCCCCATTCCTTTCCCTCTCCTTTGTGCTATTACTGTCATACATTCTACATCCGTATATGTTATAAACCAAATATAGTGTTATTATTGCCTTATACAGTCTTACATGTAACTTTAGAAGTTAGAGAAGAAATAAGAAAACCTAAATATTCTATGCTGCTGTCCAACTCTTTGTGACCCCGTGTCTATAGCCCACCAGGCTCCTCTGTCCATGGGATTTTTCCATGCAAGAATACTGGAGTGAGTTGCCATTTCCTTCTCCACAATATTCTATGAAGTCTTTTATTCTAACCCACAAACTTACCATCTTGGACCCTCCACTTCTCCATGTGAATTCAGGTCATCACCTGCAGTCATTTCCTTTCATCCCAAGGAATTATTACTTATTAGGCAGATGTGCTAGCAATGAATTCTCTGAGTCTGTTTATCTGGGGACATCTTTATCTTGCCTTCATCTATGAAGGGTAGTTTTGCTGGACATAGAAGTCTTGGTTGACGGTTTTTTCTCTCAGCACCTTGAAAATACCACCCCATTCTTGGCAACCCACTCCAGTATCCATGCCTGGAAAAATCTCATGAATACAGGAGTCTGGTGGGCTGCAGTCCATGGGGTCGCAAAGAGTCAGGGATGACTGAGCAACTAACACACACTTCCATTGGTTCAAATGACAGGTCAGCAGTTAATTGTACTGATTTCCTCGTATATGATGAATCTTTTTTATCTTGGTGCATTTGGAGGTTTTATCTTAGTGTTTGACTTTCACTTGTTTTTCTGGATGAAGTCTTTGTGCTTATCCTGGTGGAAATTTGTTGAGTTTCTTAGATGTATAGATGAATGTTTTTTTATCCAGCTTGGGACACTTTTAGCCATTATTCCTTCAAACATTTCTTCTGCCCCTTTAACTTCTCCTTCTTGAACCTTCAGTGAGGTTCTCCAGTGGCAGAACTTGCTTGTTCATTGAGCTGGGCAGGGAGGTGGGAGGAACCCCAGGCTAAAACGTCAGATTCCCTCTGTTCTTACCCTGAAGTTCAGTTTTTCAAGAAAATAAACAATACTTGGATTGTTGCATGTCCTCGGTCAATTTCCAGAGTGCTGAAACGGTGTTTTGTTGATTTTGTGCTTGGTGGGGAGAGAATTTGCCAGTCTTCTCATTCAGCCATAGTCAGAAGTCCCACCCTTTAATTTTGCTAAATTGACCTTCAGTAAGTTTTTATTAACTTGCACTCGAAGGGCATTAATTTTCCCATTAAAGACCTCTTACTTGAAGTGAAATTAGAATTTTATTTTAAAATTTTAAAAGCTGATTTGCTTCAGTGGGGTCAGCAGTTGGGTCTCCAAGAGTTGGGTCCTAATTAACCACATGAGGTTCATTGTAGCATTAACTCCACAGGAATCCAGCATTTGGAATATCGAGCTGTGGTTTTAGATTAGATCAACTGGAGTGGTGTCTGATGTGTAAGAGTGCTCAAAAAATATTTGAGTGAAGAGACTATGTGGCAAGGCATAAGTTTAACAAAAATAAGTTATGGAACAATTTATTAGCACAGTCTCAGTTATATGAAAACATAATTTTCACACCTTTCAAAAAAAAAAAGGCTCCTGTTTTCCAGTTGTATACACATTTTTCTTTTTGTCCGTTTTTCTTTTTCTTCTTTTTTATTTTAGCCATGCTGTGCTGCTTGTGGGATTTTAGTTCCCTGGCTGGGGATCAAACCCAGGGCCCCAGCAGTGAAAGTGAGTCCTAACCACGGACCACCAGGGAATTCCCAACATGTGTGTTTTAACCATAGGAAAGGGTTAAGAAAGAAATACAGCGAACTGTAAACCATGGTTACCTCCAGAGATGGGTCAGCAGGACCCCCACCTTCAGCTAGGTTGTAGTGTAGGTTGTGCTCAGGATACAAGGAATCTCCGGGGGAGGGTGGGGAATCATTACCCACAGAGGGTGACTTTTTTAGATACCCATAGAGGTACCAACTGTGCTAGGAGGACATCCCTGGGAGGGGATGGGGGCTATGAAGGCAGCATTACGTTTTCTCCACATAGACATCTATGTATTAGAATTTTTCACAGCAGTGTCTCTCCTGTGTCAATGAACTTTTTGTTTGTTTGTTTCCCAAGAGTAAACTTAAACAGATTGACTTTTTGAAACGTGGGACAGAATTGTTTTACTTTTCTAATTTTTACATTGCAGCGACATGAGCTCACGGGCCGGCTACCCCGCTCAGGTTCACAAGACAGCCAGCACCGAGAGCCCACGGCCCTCACAGCTGGCTCAGCCCAGCGCCTTCCAGCTCTCCACCTCTGTCCCCAAGTCCTTCTTCTCCAAGCAGCCCGTGCGCAACAAGCACCCCACGGGGTGGAAGAGGACAGACGAGCCCCCGCCACGGCCACTCCCCTTCACTGACCCAAAGAAGTAAGTGCCTGGGCACCTGGTGAGGCACCCCCAGAGCCAAGCTTGGCCTCTCAGGGCAGGGGGGAGGGTGACCCCTCTCTCCCTCATATGTCAGTCACCATGCCAGTCTACACACTGGGAACACAACCTCGCACAGGCAGACAGGGTCCCTGCCCTCCAGGGGGCCATGCTGGCTGGGGAGACGGACAGCAAATAGGGTGACTAAGAAAAGTGTGCAGAGTCAGATGGTGGCTAGCATTGTGACACGTCTGGATGAAGAACGTTCCAGGCAGAGGGAACAGCAGCTGACAGACCCTGAGGCAGGAGCAGGCTTGGTCTGCGTGGGGAGGACCAGTGTGGCTGGGACCATGTGAGCACATGAGGTCAGAGGGGCAACGGGCACAGACCGTGGAGGGTTCTGTGAGCCCCAGGTAAGGGCCTGGGCATCTGCTATAAGTCAGGGGGAGCCACAGAAAGGTCTGGAACAGGGGGACAGACCTAAGTTGGGTGTTTACAGAGCCCCTGTGGTTGCATGTGGAGCATGGCCTGCAAGGGGCCAGGAGACCAGGGGGCTCCTGCTCTGATGGTCCAGGCAGGACACACGAGGTCTGGGGGGGAAGAAGGAGGCAGCTTTAGGACAGATCTCTGAAATGGGAGCCAGCAGATTCCACTGGCAGATCAGATTTGGTGTAAGAGAAAGAGCAAGGTGGAAGGTGATGCCAGGTCTTTCAGCCTGGAGGATGGGCAGACTCTCCTTGAGCTGAGATAGGGACTGAGTGGGGAGCGGGCTCAGGGTTGGAACTGTAGAGTGAACTGTAAACCATGGTTCCCTCCAAGTGGGGAGCCCCAGAGCTGTGGCCTGGATGCTTACCCTTTTTTATTTTTTTGCTGCACTGGGTCTTGGTGGCTGCACGAGGGCTTTCTCTAGTCACAGTGAGCAGGCGCTACTCTCGCGGTGCACAGGCTTCTCGTTTCGGTGGCCTCCATAGTTGGAGCACAGGCTCTGTGGCACACGGGCTTCAGTAGTTGCAGCTTGCAGGCTCTAGAGTACAGGCTCAGTAACCCTGAGGCACGTGGGATCTTCCCAGACCAGGGATCGAACCAGTGTCCCCTGCATTAGCAGGCAGATTCTTAGCCACCGGACCACCAGGGAAGTCCACAGAAGGATTACTGTTGTGATGCGCAGTACACGTGGCGGAGGCAGTCGGGTAAGGAGTCTGGAGCTCAGGGAGAGGTCAGGCTGGGGAGAGAAATGGGGGTATTGTCAGCATAAAGACTGGAGAGGAGGGGGGTGTAGCGCTCTGCCTGAGATCCCTCAGTGTTCATACGAGGAGGAGGAGCCAGTGAAGGAGGAGCCCAGACGAATGTGGGGTCTGGGAGCCCAGGGGTGACGACTGGGAGCAGTCAGGGAACCGAGCATGGGGTTGAGCCTCACAGAGGTGACTGGAGGATGCCAGAGAGAAGCCAGGGCAGAACAGGAGGCAGCTGGTTTGGGGCATTTTGCTCTGAAACCAAAAGGAGGAGAGGAGTGGTCAGTTAAAAAACGGTTCTTTGAATTTGGAGGTTTTATTTATTTTAATTTGGCTGTACTGCACAGCACGTGGGATCTTAGTTCCCCAACCTGGGATCGAACCACCCATGCCCCCTGCATTGAAAGTGTGGAGTCTTTAACCACTGGACCACCAGGGAAGTGCCGATTTTTGAAGTTAGAGTACGATGATACTGAAAATTTATCCAGTACTCACCACATGCTAGTTTTGGTGCTGAGCTCTAGTCCATGAATTGATTCACTGAATCCACCTCAACAACCCTGCCATGAGTTGTTGTTCAATCAGTCATTCATTTCCAACTCTGCGACCCCATGGACTGCAGCACGCCAGGCTTCACCATCTCGTGGGGTCTGTTCGAACTCAACTCCATGTCCATTGAGTCACTAATGCCATCCAACCATCTCATCCTCTGCCACCTCCTTCTCATCCTGCCCTCAATCTTTCCGAGCATCAAGGTCTTTTCCAGTGAGTTGGCTCTTCGCATCTGGCAGCCAAAGTATCAGAGTTTCAGCTTCAGCGTCAGTCCTTCCAGTGAATATTCAGAATTTATTTCCTTTAGTATTGACTGGTTTGATCTCCTTGCAGTCCAAGGGACCCTCAAGAGTCTTCTCCAGCACCACAGTTGGAAAGCATCATCAGGTTCTTTGGCGCTCAGCCTTCTTTATGGTCCAACTCTCACGTCCATAACACGACTACTAGAAAAATCATTTCTAGTGATTCTTGACTAGACGGACCATTGTCAGCAAAGTGATACCTTTGCTATTTAATATGCTGTCTAGGTTTGTCATAGCTTTTCTTCCAAGGAGCAGGCATCTTTTAATTTCATGGCTGCAGTCACCGTCCCCGGTGCTCCATGAGGCAGACCTTTCATTTGCCCAGCTTTACTGCTGAGGCTCAGAGGCTCACAGCTGGGAAAGGGTGGAGAACCCAGAAAGGGGTCAGAACCCAGAAAGCCGTGCCCACGGCTCCTCTTCAGGTGGGGGGCCTGCCCTCCTCCGTCCTGTTCTCTGTAACGTCCTCTCTCATGACCTGGAGGGGGCTGTTCAGATGTGTGGTGACACAGAGCTCATAAGGAGAGAGGTGTCAGGAGACAGAAACAGGATCCCTGGAGAGGTGGGCGAGCAAGCAAGCCGAGAATCCAGTTCACGCTGCTCGCTGACAGCCAGGGGCCACTCTGCAAACTAGATTTTGATCCTCTCCTCCCCTGACTAATACCTCCAGTGGCTTGCCCCGCCCCCAGGACTAATGATAAAGGCTTTTATTTTCTGAGCGCGTATATCATACCAGGCACTGGTGCACTGCGCGCTTTGCCCAGACTACCACCTGGACCCCGTACAACATGCCCATCACCCCTCTGCCTTCATCTCCCATGCTCCCCCAGGCTTGCTCCACTCCACCCACCCGGCCTCTCCTGGCTCCTTGGTCGTGAGTCCCACCAAGTGCAGGCCGACCTCAGGGCCTTTGCAGTGGCTGTCACCAGTTCCCAGAATGCTCTTCCTCCACGTCTTTTGGCCGAGGTGGGATTTCGGAGCTTGGTCTGGCCCCCTCCTCATTCTGGTCTCCCCAGCCTTCCGTCCCCGCTGCCGTCATTCCATCCCCGGTTTCCGTTCCACGGCCCGTTCCTGCACAGGAAAGCAGGTGACGGTCTTCGTCACAAGACACGTATCACCTGACACTGTGTGGGTACTCCATCAGTGGGTGGAACGTCTGAGCCTCACATCACACTCCATCCTCACTGTAACCCCCTAACACACGGTAAGGCCCTCACTTTTCAGGGTGGCCAGAGGGTCCAGCCCTGCTGACCTCACTCTGTTCCTCCATGAGAGCAGGCCGCCCTGGCCTCCCCAGCATGTGTGCTGTTCCTTCTGCCTGGGTCCCCCCTGCCCCATCTGGCTCCGTCCTGCCCACCTGGAGTTTGCTCAGGCTGCCATTACAAAGCACTGAAGACCGGGGGGCTCAACAGCACAAGTGTCTTTCCTCGGAGCTCGGGAGGCTGGAGGTAGGAGCCAAGGTGGTGGCAGGGTTTGTTCTCTCCGCGAGCTGAGAGGAAGTGTCTGTACCACGCCTCTCTCCTGGCTCCTGGTTGATTCGCCGGCAATCTGTGGGGTTTCTTGGCATGTAGATACATCTGGATGTGTGTCTCTGTGTCCACATCTCCCGTTTTTATAAGGACAGCAGTCATTAGATCAGGGTCGATCTTAATTGCCTCATTTTACCTTGATTGGGCTTCCCTGGTGGCTCAGATGGTAGAGAATCTGCCTTCAATGCAGGAGACCTGGGTTTGATCCCTGAATCAGAAAGATCCCCTAGAAAAGGGAATGGCAACCCACTCCAGTATTCATACCTGAAGAATCCCATGGACAGAGGAGCTGGCAGGCAACACAGTTCATGGAGTCACAAAAAGTCAGACACAACTGAGCGAGTAACACTTTTACTTTACCTTGATTACCTCTGGAAAGACACCATTTCCACATCAGGTTAAATTCTGAGATTCTAAAAGTTGGGACTTCAACATATCATTTGGAGGAGACCCATAACACCAACCCTCAGGTCTCACACAGAGCTGCCATCCTCAAAGAAACTCTTCCAAGCCCCATACCAGGCTCATCCGTCCCATGGACCCCACACTTCTTCCCCTGCTTGGCCTCTATCCAGAGCACATCACACAGTCATTTGCTAGAGATTCATTTCTTCCCTGTCAACCTGTTGGACTGAGGGTACTGGGAAACAGCAGCCCCCCTTTCCCACCATAAGATCCAAAGAAAGCTTTTTATGTATGTACGTGCATTGCGTGAAAATATGTAAACTAAATATACAAAATACTGGGGGACACAGAATAGTTTCGTGGTTTCTTATATTTATTAATTTGGTTACAGATACATTTTTAAAATCACATGCTTTAAGTCATATGTTAACTTAGAATTAATGCTTTTGTCCACATGCTTTTAAGAAAGCTGCTTTATTCAAACTCTCCCCAAGCACTTTGGAAATGTCTTTGTCATTGTTAGAGACACTTCTGAGTCACCTAACCTAGTTTTCCAGAAAACATTGTCTTTACTTCCAGCTAAAGTATTTGAGGCTAAACATGTTTTTTTTTTAATCTGTGTATAATTCTGTTGCTGAAATTTTATCCCAAGACATAAGAACTCATTTGCATAACTTATTTACCTAGTTTTACTGGTACCTCCCCTGCCAAGTGGGCTTCCCCAGTGGTGCAGTGGTAAAGAATCTGTCTGCCAGTGCAAGAGACGCAGGTTCAATCCCTGGGTCAGGTAGATCCCCTGAAGGAGGACATGGCAACCCCCTCCAGTGTTCTTGCCTGGAGAACCCCCATGGACAGAGGAGCCTGGTGGGCTACAGTCCATGGGGTTGAAAAGAGTCGGGCATGACTGAGCGACTAAGCACACCTGCACACACACACCCCTGCAAAGTATTGTCATAAGCCCTTTACCTTTTTTAGCTCATTTAATC